AAAATCAAATCAAAGGCAGAAAGAAGGAAACTGGTCACATGCACAGAATTTGGATAAAAAATATCTTAAAATCTTTTAAATATCGTTTAAAAATACCCCAATACTATAAGGTTTCTTGAGCCCATCCACAGCTGAAATTATCCGTATTTCAATGAAACAAACTCATTTGAGTGAGAAAAGTCTGTAAGGAGCATTCAAAGTTTGGCATTTCCATAAAACCGATCGTTGCACACCTATAAAATACTCATTTAATCTCACATTTCACAGACCTGGGGGTGTTTCCACAGACAGAATTAGTGGCATGACTTAAACTTTACTTTCCAAAAGAAGAGACGAGCTGGGTATATCAGAATCTTTTTTATTTGACATATTGGCAAAATATTTCTGCAGATTATCAGCACGTTTGTAGACACATTAAATAATAAAAGATTTCATAAAGGAAGTTTGATGTTGATGATGAAACAATTTTCCTAACGCAGCTCTTTTACTGCCTAATTATTTAAATTAAAGCAGCAATAAGGCAGAGCTTCAGAGATATGAGAGCTGTGACATGTTGCAAACATTAACCCAGACTAACTGTGCCCTTTGACCTGGCGGGCAACGCTGACTGGAGTTTAGAGAAAGCGTAATGCAAATGCTGAATTTGAGCTCAGAGGTCGGAACCGAGCAGACAAAACAAAAAAAGAAAATTGTGCAATCTTGCGGAAAATGAAGGGAAATTGAACATTGAGCATCAAATGATTAGCTCACAGTGGCATAAAAAAAGGCCATTTTCTACAGTTCTACCGCACACAGGAATTCACAACCATCCTCCACACAGGCAGCATAGAAAACACACCGGTCATCTAACGGGTCAGGCTGGAAAACATCAGAATAGGATGACACTGAGGATGGAGCAGAGATGGAAAGAGATTGGCTCTTCCTCTCCATTCGTTCCCCTCTGTGCTCTTTACATCCCACCTGAGAGGGCTGAGAGGAAACATCATGGCCTGGGCGAGATCATTCACCCTGAAACAAATAAAGCAGGAGTGGTTTGTTTCACTGGAACATCTTCCGGTGAGTCTAAATGTAACAATTAGGCATATGTGTCATTTTACCTGGTCTTATATTTTTGGCCAGGGATGCGTTGAAAACATGGGGTGTTATTATAAGAAGAGCCTTACCAATGTCCATAATGGACACCGGGGATGCGGGAGAGCCGGATCACAGCCACCGTGCACGCGCTGCCCGCGTTGCCGAGCCGGATTCTTCTCCATCACAGTATGTAGATGATGTAGGAGAGGAAGACGAGACCCATGATGGCAAAAAACATGAGAAGCAGGATGTCCAACATGATGGAGGGCGCCGTCAGAGATGGCAGGGGCGAGATGCTGTGAGGACACGAAGCACAAATAGCAGCGCCACCGCCTGTGCACGAGATCGGAAGGGTTCGGCAACGTTCGGGAGATTACGGAAGGAAGGCCCCGCCCACACTCGAGTCAAACGGACGGACGGAAATGTCAATGATCACAAAATAAAGGTTTTGAAAACTACAAAACTCTGTGGGTAGAGCTGACAGTGTAGTTCTGGACACTTTAAAGAATTAATTAATATAAGTTTATAATCTGATAATTATGTTCTGGCTCACTTTGTAGTTGTTTAGTGCAAGATTTTGGTTCTACTGGAGCTGAACCCCTGAAACAGCCAGTGCATGATAAAGTTGAACCTATTCTCCACCTTCAGAGTAAAAACACAAGCCAGTATTCACACACATAACCTGAATCTACATTGATAAACGGCTAAAAAAGGACAAAACTGCATCAAGGTGCAGAAGCTGCTCACAGTGAGACATTAACCCGGAGAATAAAGCACAAACTGACAACGCCCAAACTGAATTCTGAGAAAAAAATGACATTTTATTGAATCTGCAGAATCATACATACAATTTGAAGTGCTGTAACAGGCCAACAGGAGATGATATCAGGTCCTTAATCTGAGTATGTATTCCGGGTTTTGAATACACGTGTATGACAATATGAATATGATATCTTCATTCTTTTTATTCCCAAAAAAATAACAAAATTATATAAAAAACAAAACAATTTAAGATGGAATGCACAAGACTGGTTCCGATGCTAAACCTGCAAATGTGGATTATATGATTCACTCTGCAAAGTCTACAGTATATAACCAGTATCGGGGAAGCAGGGAGTGATTGGTCAGAAGCTGGGAGCCTACGGCAAAGGCTGAAGGAAAGAAAGGTCTGCAGCAGAGAGAGGGGGGGGGGGTTTGGG